ATGACATTAGAACTTGGCACAATAATTATTTGCCATATATATTATAACATGAAATGGAATTTATTGTACTATATCAATTTTCTTTCTCTTTTATTTTTTTTATTTTTTTGACTTACTATTATAGGGGGGACAAGGCACTTTACTGTTTTAATGTCAATAAAATCTTTTTAAGTTCAGGAAGAACCTGAATGGGAAAAGAATAACTCAGGGGACCATTTATGTATTAGGTTGAAATAGTTATAATTTTTCTGTTATTAATAAGAAGTCTCGAGTCAATTCTGAAAATAAGTAAAAATTAAATTCTGATAGAGATCGTTTTATTTATGATGTTTGGACAACTTATCTTTTTAATTCGATAATTTAAGTCTTTTATCGAAAAAGTCATACGATGCAAAGAGTTTAAGCTGAGTAACGTAGACCGTTTGAATAATCGTGCTAATCAACAAGGACCATTTTGTAAGGTTAAGTACTTTTGAGTGACTGTTCACAAAGTTGTAAAGAAAGAAAAAAATGAAAAGAGCTCCCGAAATAATCATATTATTATCGAATCGTCTTGTGTTTTATTTGATATTAGCGGAACTCCAACCTAAAGTAAGTATACTCTATATAATTGAAAATTTTGAAAGTAACTTTAAATTTAATCTCCTGATAATGATTTTTTGATAACATTTTTATCTATCAATCTAAACGGTGCACACTAAATGACAAAAGTCCAATAGTCGAAAATTTCACCAACTTAATCGTTGACCCGAATAACATGAGACACATCAAACTTCATGTGAATCGGACAACGATCACCTTACCTTAGGGTTAAGAAAAAGTATAAGATTACACATTTGTCTAACAACCATTTGTGGATCCAAGATTTTTATTAAGAAAATTCAAGATACAAAAAGGTAAACACACTAAAATCAAAACAATTCAACATTTATTAAATATACATAAAAATATTTCTTTTCAGCAAAGAGAATTTCGAATGAACCCCTAACCCCATACAATACTTCTAATACAGATTAAAAGTTTAAACGGACAATAAACACACAAAGAAAGACGATGTAAATGAACCCCTTTACGATACACTGACCCCACCCATGCTAACAACATGTCTAATATTAAATCAAAAATTTAACGGATGACAAAATTGCTCAATTTCAAATAATAACAAAACAAATTTAAATATTTTTTAACTTTTACCATAAAGGTATTTGTTGATTCTTTTTTCAGAAAAAGATAGGTGGATCCCATGGGGTGGGCGTGGGGAGGGGGGGGGGAGGGGGTTATAATAAGTATGAATAACCCGTGCGACACCTTTTAGCAGCAATTGCGTGTGAAAAGCAGAAAATTGGTTTAAAGGCAAACACGGCTTACACTTAACTTCACGCTTCTATACAAAATCGTCTCACTCACTCTCTAAATATTGTCTTCTTTTTTTTCTAGATCGTTTGGTCGGAGGAATTAAGTGGGTTATTCCAGTATAAAAGACGTAATATATAAATGTATTTGTTTAGACGTACATAGTAAATAGTTGAATTTGTATAAAATTTAATAAGAAGATATATGTATTTTATGTGACATAAGCAAATCAGTTCGAGTGTATATTATGTGAATTGAGATGTCCAACACTATTTGTGTGATCTAAAATAATTTCTTGATATTTATGTGATTATATATTATTTTAGTAAGATAAAATGATAAGTTTAAAGTTGAATTAATTACTATACTTATATCATTACGACAATTATAATAATAAAACGTGTTGAATAAAGTTAGTGTATGCAGATCTTATACTTAACTTTTTTGAAATAGAGAGTCTGTTTTTGACCGGCCTTTAACTTTAAAAAATATCATTATTTGTAATTAATTAAAAATGAAAAAATATCATGGACATTGAGATGAGCGGGATATAATATAATTTTTTTTCTATTTTAATTTATTTGACTTGCTTTTCTTTTTAGTATGTTACAAAAATAGTGATTCTTGCCTTTTTAGCAACTATTTAATTTTAAATTTTTCACTTGACATTCTTAAGATCACAAAACTAAATATATTTTTAGTATATTTAGCACATCTTTAATTTAAAACATAAAATTTAAAAATCTTAAATATATTTCATCTTTTTATCAAATTAAAATAGATAAAATAAATCAAAACGAAGAAAATATCTTACTTTAAAGTATAATACACGCGCTAGAAAAGTAATTTGGGAAAGTTGTATGTATCAATAAAAAGTAGAGAAGCAACTAATTGCAAAACAAATGAAGGAACTAAAAAGGCAGTCAATCTATAGTCATAGTGAATTAAAAAGAGAGAATAAAAAACTTTTTAGAGATAATAATAAAAAACAAAAAATAAAGTAATCTTAGCTACTCATGAATCTCCTCATCTCACTCTTTAAAAAGGTTCAACTTTTTAAGTTTGTATTAATCTTATTTTTATGTATATATGTTACATATTGACATTTTTTTTTACTTTTATGTAATTTTTTAATTAAAATTCTAACTCAGCTACTGTATTTGACATAAGCATTATATAAATTATTTTGATGTGCGTTATTTTAATTGACGGTCGAAATAATTTTTATTTTTATTTTTACAAGATAAAAATAAGATCTGTGTACACTTTATCTTTTTCGAATCTCATTACAGTAAATATATTGTTATTATCTTAAATAAGTATCAAATAACTCTATCCATTAAAGTTTAAAAACAATACAAAACATGCCTTCTATCTAAAGTACTTTTCGCTTCTCGAAAATTAATTTTATAAACTAAATTAAATTTAAAATTTGTACAAAAAATGTATTACATATAACATTTTACACTAATATAAGAAGATTTATATTATTAATCAAAGTCTGCATAATTTAATTTTTTAAAAATTAAAAAAATATAAAGAGTAAGATAGCAAAAATAATATTTTTGTCTCCGCTGAAATTTAAACCCAAAGTGTCACTTTTCTCAACCTACTCTTCAAAAAGGTTCAACTTTTAGTTAGTATTATTTTATTTCTTGCTTCTCTCTCACACTCTTTCCCATTATCTTTTGAAAATAATATAACAATGACATAAGATTGTTTTGTTTATTAGTGAAGAAAACAATAAAGAATACAATGTAAAGGTGAAACCATTTTCATTATTTTAATTTAATTAAAGAATTTAGAAAAAAAATAGTACTTTGTACTACTAATAATAAAGAAAAAGATGACACAAAAAGTAGAGTAATTTTGGTTTTTTCCTCTGTCCATAGAGCATTTTCCAGAAATCTTTGCAACTGAAAGTACTTTCACTTATCTCCCTTTCTTCCATAAATTCCCTTCAAATCCCCCCCCCCCCCCCCCACACAATAATTAGGGTGGAGTCAGTTTGGGATTAGGGGTTTTAATCAAACGATATAATTTTTATTCGGTGACTGTTATTTATATTAGAGCTCTGATTAAATTTGAATCGCGCATTATAAAACTTATTTTAAAATGACACTCTCAATAAGATTTTCTTCATATCGAGAAGGCTCGAACTCGAAATTTTTAATTAAGGATGAAACAATTACACTAATGCACTACCAATCATGTTGACTCCTTTAAATACATTTAATAAAATTTCTATCCCTTAACCAACCTACCCTTAAACCCCCTACCCTAACTCAAGAAAGGAACATTACAATAAAAACAAACAATGCCATACCCTTCTTTTCTTTGCCTCATTAACCAAGAATTTGCCTCCCTTGTTTTCTTCTGTTTTCTTGCAATCAACAATTATTTGTCACATACAAACATTTAATATTATAAATTTTATCATAAATGAATTTGTTTTACATTAATAGTTAAATTATTACAATAGTTTTTCTTTAAAAATCAAATACAAAATTTAAGAAAGAAAAAAGACTTTAAAATTTAGTTAAAGATTTTTTTTTTTTAATTTTAATTTTAAATAAATTTTGAAATTCTTATCATTATAGAAATATGTCATTAAACTTAAAATTTTAAAATATAAACTAAAATCTAAAATGTAAAAACATGTCATTGTTTGAAACAACAAAAAGAGAAGGTGTCATTAAGAACTTAAGATGAAACATGTGATGATATAGATTTTTTGGGGAAAAAATTAATTTCTATGCATCAAGTTACTCAAAAGGTAATTACCAATAACTTTTTAATAATTATTATAAATAGTTTGATAATTATAATAATTAACCTACAATCAAAATATAACATTCACTATAAGTATGTATAATTTTGAAAAATCTAAAACATTTTTGTAGAAAATAAGTGTATGTATTTTCTTACCCGTATTTTCTTGTGTTCAATAGGTAAGTAAAATTATTAGCCTAAAGAGGTAGAGATGTTGGATGATTGAGATGAGGGTTATGAGGGTGAAGATAAATATGATGCTTATTGAATGGTACGAAGCACACAATCAATATAGAATATCACTAGTAGATCTTATTTACGAAGTTCAATATTTTCTTACTATCCTAAAGAAAAATATATTTTCAAAATATTCAACCGACCGAACATGAAAAATTAAAAATTATTTTCATTCGTACCAAACACATTCTAAACACATAAAATTCAAATTCTGAAATATGAAAAATTGAAAAAACATTTCCCTTCGTCAAACACACTCTAAATACATAAAATTCAAATTTTGAATTACTCTAAACACATAAAATACAAGTTCTAAATCACCTTAAACACATAAAATTCAAATTCTCAAACATAAACAATTAAAAAAACATTTCCCTTCATATCGAACACACCCTCGATACATAAAATTCAAATTCTAAAATCACCTTAAATACATAAAATTCAAATTCTAAAACATAAAATCTTTTAAAATGAAAACATTTTCCTTTCTATTGAACACATCCTAAATACATAAAATCCAAATCCTAATTTATCATTAATTCATAAAATTAAAATTCTGACTTTGCCTCAAAGATATATTTTTTTTTCTTAGAGGAGAGAAGAAAAGGAGTTGGGTATTTAATAGTATGTAAAAAAAGAAAGTTTAGAAGAAGACGGTGTGCATGTGTTCATTGCTTTTATCATCTTCATCATCATCTTTTTGTTTAGAGAGAGAAGAAGACTTAGCTGTAGAGAGAGAAAAACAGAGAAAAAATTTCATAAATTTTGTGAAGAAAACCAACAATTTCTCTCTTGATTTCAATTTTTTGTTCAAATTTATCATCAATTCTTGAAGAAAAATTCCAATTATGAGGGCAGGATTAAGTACAATCCAACAAACGTTAACCCCAGAAGCAGCAACAGTATTAAACCATTCAATAGCTGAAGCAAGTCGCCGGAATCACGGCCAAACAACGCCGTTACATGTGGCGGCGACTTTATTGTCGTCGCCGTCAGGGTATCTCCGGCAAGCCTGTATCCGTTCACACCCAAATTCATCACACCCACTTCAGTGTCGTGCACTTGAGCTATGCTTTAGCGTTGCTTTAGAAAGATTACCCACTGCTCAAAACATGCTTCAAGGTACAGAACCCCCAATTTCAAATGCGTTAATGGCTGCTTTGAAAAGGGCACAAGCTCATCAACGAAGAGGGTGTCCAGAGCAACAACAACAGCCGCTTTTAGCTGTGAAAGTTGAATTAGAACAGTTGATAATTTCGATTCTCGATGACCCAAGTGTGAGCAGGGTGATGAGGGAAGCTAGTTTTTCTAGCCCAGCTGTGAAGAACACGATTGAACAATCGTTAACGCAAACCTCCTCGTCTTCGCATCATCATCAAACAAATATCAATTTATCACCTTTCACCGCGATGGGTGGTGGGTCTAGGATTCTCGGAACAAATCCGGTGACACCAGTACAGATAACTCGAAATATGTATTTGAATCCTAAGTTACAGGGAGGTGGAGGTGGGGGTGGGGGTAGGGTGGGGATAGGAGGGCAATTGGGTAATCTACAAAGAGGTGAAGAAGTGAAAAGGGTGTTAGAGATTTTGTTGAGAAGCAAGAAAAGGAACCCAGTTTTGGTTGGTGAAGGTGAACCAGAAAGTGTAGTGAAAGAACTTTTTAAGAAGATTGAGAAAGGGGAATTAAGTGAAGGGCATTTGAAGAACTTACAAATTGTTCAAATGGATAAGGAGTTTTCGTTTTCGTGTGATAAAATCCAGATGCTTAATAAGATTAAAGAAGTAGAAGGGGTAATCGAGAGTAAGATGAGTAATGGTACTGGAGGTGTGATTCTTGATTTAGGTGATTTGAAATGGCTTGTTGAGCAGCAACAACAACCGATGATTTCGGAGATTGGGAAATCAGCAGTGGCTGAAATGGGGAAGTTATTAGCGCGATTTCGAGAGGATAATAGTAATAGCAATAATAATAATAGGTTATGGTTGATTGGTACTGCTACATGTGAGACATATTTGAGATGTCAAGTTTATCATTCTACTATGGAAAATGATTGGGATCTTCAAGCTGTTCCTATAGCTTCAAGATCTCCTCATCCAGGAATATTTCCAAGGTATTTGAATTGCTGTAATCCTGTTTTTGGAATTGATCTGTGTTGGGAATATGAACAATTTTGGATAAAAATTGAATCTTTGAATATTTTGTTTGTGTATAGTCTAGTATAAGATGCTTTTGTCTGGAATTATTCTTGGAGTTATGGTTTCCTCTGTGTAGATAACAACTTGTTTTTTGCTCTAGAATTGCTTGGATTAAATGTTCTAGGATCTTGCATTGCCTTATTTCTGGGATTGTTATGCTTGTTCATACACTTGTCAATATTATTTAAAAAAACACAGCAGTTTTCAAGAATGTTAGGAAAATTTGTTTTCTTCATTTGATGATTGACAAGTTGGGGTTGCTCGGATGGTAAGCACTGTCCGACTATGTTTTTTAGCATATTGTGTGGTTCTGTGGCTTCTGCTAAATTTTCTGCCTATTTTCTTCCAATTACGTTTTTTAGTGCTATCTGTTGATGTGGTACTCTTTATGAAATTTTTAGGCTTGGAAATGAAAGAATTCTTGGAAGTTCCTTGGATCCTCTGAATCCGCTGAAGAGCTTTACTGGTCCGGTGCCTTCACTACCAAGGCGTGTACCAGAGAATTTAAATCCGAGATTGAGGACATCGTGTTGTCCCCAGTGCAAGGAGAAGTTTGAACATGAGTTGGCGAAACTTGTATCTGAGTTTGAGAATTCATCATCTGAAGCTAAATCAGAATTTCCTCCTCGACCTCAGTTGCCTCAATGGTTGCAAAGTGCCAAGCTAAAGAATGATAGTAAAGCAACGACTCTGTCACAGGTATGTTTAACTTGATTAATGGGAACCTAGAACGACTTAAACTGCGTATGTACGAGCAGATGAATCATTCTGTCTTTTGATGTCTTTGCAGATCAAGGATCAAAGTATTTTGCAGCAAAAGACTCAAGAACTTCAAAAGAAGTGGAACGATACATGTTTGCAACTTCATCCTAATTTCCAGCACAGTGTCGAGATTCAAAGAACAGTACCACCTGTTCTCTCTATGCCAGGCTTATATAATCCGAACCTGCTTTTGCGTCAACCTTTACAGCCCAAGCTTGTTCCAAGTAGAAGCCTGGGGGGAGTGAGCCTGCAACTGAACACCACCCAAACGGCTAGTCAATCTCTGGAAAAGGTAGCTACCCCTCCTGGAAGCCCTGTAAGGACCGACTTGGTTCTCGGGCCAAAACCAAGTGAAACTGCCCCGGAGAAAACTCTGGAAGATCAAGCGAAGGACTTCCTCAGCTGCATTTCTTCCGTGCCTCAGAACAAGTTACTTGACAAATTTGCTAGTGCACTAGATGCTGATACGTTTAAAAGGCTTCTCAAGGGTCTAATGGAGAAAGCTTGGTGGCAGCAAGATGCAGCCTCTTCTGTTGCTTCTGCTGTGTCAAGGTGCAGATTGGGCAATGGGAAACAGCGGGGTGGTGCACCAAAGGGTGACATATGGCTGTTATTCACGGGTCCTGACAGATATGCCAAGAGAAAGATGGCATCGGTTCTTGCAGAGCAAATGTGCGGAAATAGTCCAATAATGATCTCCCTTGGTTCACGGCGAGATGATGAAGAGTCAGACGTAGGTTTCCGTGGTAAAACAGCCGTAGATCGTATTGCAGAGGCTGTTCGGAGGCATCCACTTTCAGTTATTATGCTCGAGGATATAGACGAAGCAAATGGGGTAGTTCGTGGGAGCATAAAACGAGCCATGGACAGAGGTAGGCTTACGGATTCACATGGCCGTGAGATTAGTCTCGGCAATGTCATATTCATTCTTACTGGAAATTGGTCTACAATGAGCCCCGAGAGCTACATGAATGAGTATTTGATGGAAGAAAAGAAACTGGTCTCGCTAGCCAGTTCCGATTGGCAGTTAAGGTTAGCAGTTGGTGAAAAGAGCGCTAAGCGCAGAGCGAGTTGGTTGCATGATCAAGACAGACCTAGAAAAGAATTGAATCTAGGTCTCTCTTTCGATCTAAACGAAGCAGCAGAGTTCGAGGATTATAGAACTGATGGATCACACAATTCAAGTGATCTAACTGTTGAGCGCGAAGAAGATCCTAGCCTTGAAAACAGGCGATTCTCAGTTACATCAGTTCCTCACGAGCTCGTCAGCTCCGTGGATGACACCATCCCATTCAAGCCGATTGAATTCCTGTTTGCTCGACGTGAGATCAAGAAAACAATCAGCAAGAAATTCTCCATGGTCGTCGTTGATGACAAGGTCTCAATCGAAGTTGAAGACGAGATAGTAGACCGGATCCTAGGTGGCTTATGGCGTGGTCGAACAAGCCTAGAACAATGGGTGGAGAAAGTTTTAGGTCCGAGTTTCGATCAAATCCAGCCCCGGCTACCCTCTTCCGACGAAAACACTATCGTTCGACTTCAGCTTGAACTACTGCATAGAGACTCCAATAGCCATAACAATGGAGAATGTCTACCTAGCAAAGTCACAATAGTGGCAGATGGACAGTAGTGAAAGTGATATTTTCCTCATTCCACTTGGGTACATTTTGTATATAGGGAAAATTGTGTGGCTTTGGGACAAACAAAACAAGATTAGAGGGGGTAAAGAAGCAAAAAAAAAAAGTTATTACCAAAAGAGTGAGAATGTTGATAGATTAGAGAACCTTTATTTTTTCCACATAATTTTTTTTTAATAGTTTGGTTGTTATAGTAATGTAATGTTGTACTAGATACTTATATTATTATAAGCCATGATTAATAAAATGGAGGAATTCCTCCTTGGGAAATTCTCCATTTTCCAATGTAATCATAACTTTAGTATATACATATTTATTGTATTTTTTACACATCTTCATAGTTTGAAGACTTCTATAGGTTTTTGGACAAAGTCAACAATTCAAGAAGGAGTCAATGAAAAATAAGTTTGGTAAATGGGATAAGATGAGATGTTTCAAAATTATACTTACATCGTCAACTAATTATAATATTAAGTTTTCAAAGGATATCGAATCTTATTTCATTGTATTTGGTATTATTGTTTTCCACTTCACCAGATGCGATAAATTAATCTAAAACTATAATCTTGAGATAATTTAGTTAGTTCACGTATCAAATGATACCTCCTATTAAAAGATTGGTAGATTTCAAATTTGTTATTACTCAAAGATACAAGATTTACCAAAATGAAGAAGACTTTGACAAATACCAAACCTAATTATTATTCCATATTTTAATTTTAATTGTTCATAAATTACAATAATTGACAGTTTAAAAGACAAAAAAATATGATTAAAAAAAAATTGTTTAAAATTTGAAATTAAAATACGTACTGCGTATACTAAAGCAAAAAATGTATATTAGATTAAATAAATATTAGTATAAAATTCATAAACTTTAAATACTGTCTTGATTTCGACATATACCAGACCTAATTATCCATTAGTCACAAAAAATATTTTTTAAAAAAGAAAACAGAATTTTGGTGGCAGGTCAAAGGTACCTGTGTGGCAGAGATCAAACGGTCAAAATTGAACTTTTTGGTTTAAATAGTCTGTGGGTGAAATAAAACCTAAAGTTAGGGGGCAAATCAGAAATAAAAAAATGCCCTCATATTGGTACACAATACATGTTCATGCACCAAACACTAGTCTGATTGAGATTTCTTCGCTTTAAATTAATTAGATATTTTAATCGAGTTTAAATTTTAAAAAATTGAAAGAAGTTGTTGCCATAAAAAATATGCTCGAAATTCAAATGTTATAAGATCTCAAATATAAATATTTGATACAAAGAAAAAAGGACACGTTGATGAACCATTCACAAGACGTACGTGGAGTGATGATTAAGATTCATTTACTCTTAATTAGATATCTTAAGTTTGAATGCTAAAAAATGGCAAAAAGTTGTCGCTCTCAAAAATATGTCTGGTAGCGCCAGACTTTTAAATTTAATCACATGTAAATTTCATCGAATCTCAATATGAATATCCAATACGAAAAAAAGGACACACAATGCACCAATCTCGAGTCGTGGTGAGATGATTGAAATTCCTTCTCTTTTAATCAGATATTTCAAGCTCAATTTTTTTAAACAATTAAAAAAGTTATCGCTCTCAAAAATATGCTCGGTAATGCTCGGATTTCAAAGTTGATCCGATTCAAATTTGATCGGATCTCAATACGAATACTAATAAAAAGAAATGGACACGTTCATGCATGTGTTACGTGTCGCCACCCCTCTAAAAAGCAGTAATTGTAAGTAAGTGTATAAATGTGGACCATGCAAATATATACCAAAAGTGATATGGTTACTACGTGTCTCATGCAATTAATTTCATTTTTTTAAAAAAATATTACTTTTTAATTTTATATATTATTTATATATTTATTAATTTCTTATAATAACAAAATATTTGCTATTTCTTTTAAGTTATTAGTTTTAGGAGTGCATTTTTTTTTAACTCTTTATGAATGCGGGGGATATTTTTTATGAATTAATTATCTTTTAAAAATAATTATTAGTAGCTATTTTAAAATAACTTGATAGTGCAATAAAATTTATATACTACTAAATTATATTTTACCACATAAATTGAGACAAATGAAGTTTAAATTAACCTATTTAATTTAAAATATATATATATTTTCCATTTTACCAAAATACCTATTGTACATGTGAACACAATTGCTTACCCAAAGATTCTACTCATTGTCACAATCACCATATACACTTTTTTTTTTCTTTTTGATGAGAATATATATCAAATTTAATTCTAAAATTCAGACTTTCTCTTATATGCGACTCGAATATGTAGATCTTGAGAATAATAATAAAAAACTTGATAGAAAATATTTTGTCCGTTTCTCCAGACAATATATTCAACAAAATTTTATCTATTCTTAAAAGCTTGAACACGAGATTTTTATTAAAAGTGAAGAGGTATTAACCATTTCACGACAATTCATGTTTAGTAATTCTTTAACACTTATGAGATATAAAACATTTTCGTCTATATTTTTTTTAGTTCTATAAATAGAAAAAATATTCACAAACTAAAAAGTATAAAGAAAGTGCCTTTTGCAACATTCAAAATGATACTCTTTTTAAGACCAATTGTCCCTTGGAATACAAAAATGGCAAAACTTTTGGAAAATATCGTCATTGATGATGTGTACATTTAAGATTTCAGTTATTATTTTTTAATTAAATAATTAAAACATAGCCATTTCACTCCAAATATACATTATTATTATTATTTTTATGAATAAAAAGAAGCAATAGGTCGTCAGCCAAAAAAGAGCTAAAACTAAATTGTCGGTAGGAATAGGCATGATACGATAAATATTGATATTCATATCAAAAATTTAGATATTATAAAGGTAGTATGATATTTTAATATGTATTTTCAAAATATTGGTATATGATTTTGTAACGATCCTAATCATCGTTAATTAGGAAAAGCAAAGGGAGATTCTCGGCCACTGTCCCGCTAGGGCTGGCCAGATTACCGCTAGGGTGGCGGCGCCGGGGGGGGGGGGGGTAAGTTGGCACCAGAGCGGGATAGGCGAGACAGAATGTAAATAACGCGAAATTTTATTTTCTCCTTCTTCCTAAAATACCTAATTTAGTCGTAAAACACCCTAGAAACCTTAGAAAGCTGCTCTAAGCTTGGGAAGGAAGGAGAAAAAGATTTCTAGCGTGAGGATGGCGATATCTTGCGGATTCTTGGCCAAATTCACCGTCATGTTGTCTGGAAAAACCAGAAAATTATTTGCAATTCCTCCGTGCAGCTGCTTGGCGCCCAAATAGGCTAGGTTTATGAATTTAGTAGTTATAAATATGTGTTCACTGCGTAATATATGTAAATCAACGATAGAATTATGCGTAGGCCCTCGTGCACTTAACGAAATATGGTTAAAATCATATGAAGAAGCCTTAGATGATGAACTGGGCTAACTATGGTTGGATTAATGCTTACATGATATGCGTGGATGAGTAGTTCATTGGTGATGGTTGTGGTTCTATGATTGTGTGTTGTGGGTTGTTCTTGCTTCATTGTGATACGTGCATGTATGTGAACGAAGCATGTTAATCACGCCTAATGTGAATTAGTATGAACGAAGAACTATATGCTATAAATCACCTTTTGTTGTATGATTGTGATAATATACATTGTGATTGTGATTGTGGATCGGGTGTTGCATTCCAACACACTAACTTGGATCAGTTGCCACGTTCCGGCATAGTTATGGGATCGGTTACCACGTTTCGGCATAATCTTTGGATCGGATACCACGTTCCGGTATGCTAACAGTTTGGGTTCCATGAGAGGACCAATGACTTGACATAATTGTGTACTTTGAGGATTGTGACATTGAATGTGGTTTGTAATGATAAATGATATTGTAATTCCCCGGAGTGGTCGTGTGGTTATGAGGACTTATATCTAATTGTTCTTTTGTGTTGGGTGAACTTGTTGTGTATGTGGTTGTTGGATGAATCGGGCGGCCACGGGTTCAAGGGTCGTAAAACTTAAGAGCAAGGGTTGTTCGTATGTTGCAAGGGTGAGAAGTAGAGATAATGTACGCGATGTAAATTCTTAGGTGGATTTCATTGTGGAGAGATGAATTTGTGTTTAGTGGTTAGAAAGCTTGACGTAATGTACTATGTGGCCAGGGTTGGGTAATATGAAGAAAAAGTAAGGGTGTGACGTGAGCGGTTAGTTAGAATGCTTGTAGTTGTATTTGGGGATTTTCTATGTGTTAGAATGGTTAGGCTATGACCAAGTACCTAGTAAGTAGGTTGACTGAAAAGATGGTTAGTAGTTAGAGTGCTAGTGTAATTCAGAGGTATTTCGAGAGAGGGTAAAGGTGGAGAAGCGAGTGGTTTTATCTCATGATCTTACTAGTTGGTTCCTATATTATGTGGTGGGCGTCGGGTTGACCAATGATGCCTACCAGTACGTGTGCTTGTACTGATAATACACTTGCTATGTTTTTTGACATAGACTGGATGCAGGTTGGTGATGTTCCATTAGGTGAAGACGAAGAAATTCTCCAGCAACTTTTTTCTTTCCTTCCACATGGTGGAAGCTGTGTCTTTTATTTATTATATCTAGTTGTACTCTTAGTAGCTCTTGTACCTGTTTAGACTAGATTCTTGGGGGTGTTAGTTACTTTGCAAATTGAGATAAGGATATGAAAAATACATCAACTTTAGTCGGATTTGCTGTTGCGATACTAAACTTTCATGAGGACCTATTACTTCCCTAGACTATTTAATACTGTATTTTAAACATATATATTTGCCCACGTGGACATAAAAAATAATGCAAAATTATAAATAGTAATGTGTCCACGTGGGCACATATATACCTTTAAAATACACTATAAAATAGTTCAGCGGGTAAAAAATACGGTATTAAATAGTCTAGGGAGGTAATAGGTCCTCATGAAAGTTTAGTATCGCAACAACAAATCCGACCAAAGGTGGGGTATTTTTCAGACCCTTATCCCTTACAAAATATTGAATATCATATTAAAATATATAGTTATATATACAATTCATATATATTATCATATTATTAACAAATATATAAATTATAATTTGTACAAAATTAATTGTTTACATGTTATTTGAATTTAACTACTCCTATCTGGATTGAAATATCATTTGTGTAATTGATTAACGAAGAGAATACTTATTTCAAGTATTTCAATGTGTGTAAGGTATTAATATGGTTTAATTGAGATGTTTTTGAAAAACCCAAGTTACAATTTTCTATTATATAGGTCGAAGTCGAACAAATTATTATTACCAACTTACTACACTGCAAAATAACTAAATCAAA